GAGCTCCTTAAGAAAAGTATGTATCTTGCTCACTATTGTAACTATGTCTGGCAGCCGTGATCTTTCAAGAGTCAGTGCTGATGAGGGAGCATTTCACACTTTTTTTTTTCTTAACAAAAGAGAGATATTCAGTGTAATAATAACAATAACAATAATGTGATTCTTACATACCCCCTACACCCACCATTGCACTAAGTGCTTTCATGCATTATCTCATTTAATCATTGCAGGATTCCTTGGGAGCAAGTACTACCAGCATCCATATTGTACTGACCAAGAAACAAAACCCCTCAAAGTCTACATTACTTGCCCAAGGGCATGAAGTTGTAGGTGGTAGAATCAGGAAACAAACTCAGGTTGGCCTGACACTGACAGTATTTTTTCTCAATGACAATGTTCCACTGTGCATGTTTCCTGGAGAGTGATTATATTAGTCACATCTCAATGAATGTGGAATAAATAAGCATATAGGTGTGTATACAAAGGAGCCATAAATGTTCATCTCTTCTGTGATTTCATCTGTACCCATTTTTCCTCGCTTTCTCTTTTTCAGCTAATTATTATCTAGTGAGCAGGTATTAAGAGAGGGTAATTTGATACTAAGTCTATCCTTTATCTTGAACACCAGAAATTCAATGTTCCCATTACATCTTAGGGTGTTTTCCTCTCAGTTAAACTATGTTGCACTCACAGGCTAAGCAGTGAAGGTAGAGTGATCTGTGCTGTGCGTGAGCTAGAACACCTGTGCCTCAAGAGGTGGGGGGGTTATTCATCTTTGTGTCCCCTGCTGTGGCGCTATCCCCACTGTAGACAAAGAATAAACCCTGTGGGAATGGGTTATGAAAGAAATTGTGAACTTGACTCGAAGAATTTGTAAAGGTAGTTTAGAAACTGTAAATATCAGTCATCTCATGACACTGAAAAACAAAATAGAGGGTCTTTCTAAAGATAATATCTAAAAGAAAGCTTCAAGCCATTCTGGCAAGCAGTAAAGTCAACTGTGTGGGTAGAAGTAGATAAACCAGGTAAAAACCGGACATTGACTTGAATTCGACAAAGATTTGGTAACTTACTAAATATGAGACATCAGATCAGATTTTTACTTTATATCTAAGAATTTTCGAGTCACAAGACAGACCTCATCTTTTTAGTAACCGAATCATTTGTGTATCAGATCAAGAGAAAATAAAGGTTTGTCTTATGTGAAAAGGACAAAACAGTCTTCAGCTCTAACGAGGTCCATTTCCCTACAAAACACAGCTGATGGCTTCCCATTGCCATCATGTTTACACTTGAAGACACTTTCCATGCCATAACTCATTCTTCAAATCTTTTTCCCCACCCTCTCTGACTCCCATTACCTCCTCACGCTCCCATCCCACTAAACTTGAGGTTTCTCCTCAAATATTACATTTTTGTGTGCCTCTAGTCTCCAGATCTGAACTGCCTTGCTCTCTAACTAGTGACCCTCCATCCTTCAAGACACAGCTCAAACATCATTGCACCTTCTGGTGCCTTCTGGCAGAGCTAACTGAGTCAGCCAATGCTCTCCAATGGCTCCCATTTGGGCATCCCTCAGTCTCAGGCCATAGTCATGCCTCCACCCAAACCACAAAAGCCTCACGTCCAGCCATTCTTTCTCACCTGTGTCTGTATCCTTTAAGCAACCCAGGAAAGGCCCATCTATGTCACAGGAATGTCTGTTGCTTTGAGGTGTAATATGTCTCCTTCGTATTTCCTCCCTCACTAAGCAATGCAAAGAATGATAGAAACATTTAGTTATTTTATTAAACACTTTCTATGTGCTGAACACTGGTTCAACACTGTATTTTATATACATAAAACAGTGGATAAAACTCCTGCCTCGTGGAGACTGCCTTCAGTAGGCGAAGCATAGCAAAGAAGTTACAAAAGGAAATTAGTTCTAGTTCATGGTGAATATTGAGATGGAAGAAACCAGAGTGTGTAGTGGGGGAGGGGAGAAGTCATGGGGAAACAATGTGAGGGGAGGAGTTGAGGGAAGTTCTGTCTGAGCTAAAGAACTGTGAGCTGACAGCTGAACGGTGAGGAGTACAGAACCATGTTCGTGCATAAAGAAGCTCATTCAGATGTCCTGGCGTGTGGACTGGCTCAGCATGATCTTCAAAGAGCACTAAGCCAGAGTGGCTAGACTGGAGTGAGCAAAGAAACATTCTAGATGAAGCTGGACAGACTGGCAGGGAAGAGACTGTAGAAGGCCTTGTCTGCTGGAATAAAGAGCATCACTTTATTCTAAATGCAGTGGAACCCAGGGGACAACTTCAAGCCAAGAATGGACGTGGCTGGAATGATGTAGTATTAATATGTATGTGCTAAGCCATGATATATAGACATATATATATTTAAAGTTCTGGTTATCTACTTGGACAACACTTGCTCACAGGTTTACTTTTCCCCTTCATTCTCCTCTCCACTGGGGGGCTCCAGAGATTGTCAGAAGTATCTGGCCTGGTTTGTCTCCCAAGTAACTTGGTACGGCAGCCTCCTCAGTGTCTCCAAAAGCTACGTTTGAGATAGGAATGGTAGGAAGAGAGAATAAACAACTGAATAAATAGAGAATTAAAACACAATCAGCTCTTGGGAACAGGTATGCTTTTGACAGACTACACGTGAGACAGTAACAAGAATCACTATTTTTCCGAAAAACCTATGGTACGCCAAGCCTTTACGTGACGAGACTCATTAGAACTGATTAGTTTTATTTTAAGCAAAAGTGACTGTACCAACAGAACTAAGATTTATAGAAGAGATCTGGGAAGTACTGGGGCAGAACCTGCTAGCCTGCTAATTAAAATGACGATGTTAACAGTTACCAGTCTCTAAAGGTTTACTCTGTGCTGTCTAGCACCATGTTAATTGCATTAATGTATACATTATCTCATTGAGTCCTCCATCAATCATAGCCAATATGAATGCCCATCATCCACTTTACTGAAATTCGAAAAGGCTCAGGGCCCTTCAGTGACCTAATATCTCCAAAATATTAAGTGGTGGAGTTGGCTTTTGGGTAAAAGACTGTCTGACTCCAAAGCCCTTTATACTAACCAGTATACTAAAATGAAGAGGCTTCTGGAGACTTCAGTTCTAGTGTCAGCCAGCTTTCTTGCAATTCTGTTTTCCTGATGATAAAATGGTTATCATTATCTTCCAGGAAGAGGTAATAATACCAGTCCAACAAATCTGTAGGGAATGTCCATGCCACAAAGATACCTTGAGTGTTTTGTAAACTACTAAACAATGTATTTTGGGCTGGGTGACTGATTTTTGCCTGAAGAAGAAGAGCCTCTCCAAAAAATGAATTCCTTAAGATGTAATACTTTTTTTTTTCCCCCCCAACTTGGTTGCCCTCTTTCAGAACGTGACTCCAATTCCACATTCAATGCTCATTTAAAGCATCTGTTCCTCTCTCAGGTTCTTCCTAAGGTGTTGACAACATAAGGGAAGTTTCTACCCAGCTCTGCCACCAACTCACTGTGCAGCTTTGGGCAAATCCCTTCCTCAAGACCCCACATACAAATGAGAGAGCAGGTTTGTTGGAAGTTCAAGGTTATTCCACATTTCAAATGACTACAGCAGAATGTAGCCCATGGCTGAGATAAAAGCAAGAGGAGAATAGGGGCTAGCTCATACTAGGGTACTAGATCTCTGAAACGTTTGTTTCATGAGTAAGTCATGGGGCTCTTGACCATAAGATGACGGCTAACTTGTTCAAAAATTTCAGCAGATATTTTAAGATGCAGCGAACACCCTTCTAGGAGCTGCTACTAAAAACGTTGAACAAAGCCAATCTGCTTCCTGAGCGCCGCACAAGATAGACCAAAACAGGAGTCTGGAAAAGACATTTCAGCCACAGATGCGTTTTGTTTGACCAACACAGTTTTGAACATTTTCTAAACTTGCCAATGTTTTTAAATAATAGGAGATTTCACACAGAAGTTCTCGTTGCTAGCTTCTCTTCTAAAATCCCAATGTTTGGCAACACAGAGCTGGCATTTCCACATGGCAGGGAAACGCTGGAGCTGAAGAGAAGCTGTCCCCAGCCCACCCCAGCCTAGACCTACACCCTCCATCTCCGCCCTGCTCCGCGAGCGCCCACGATCCCCACCCTCGCCGCGACAGAAAGCAACCAAGTGCCAGCTCTCTGGTGTCTTACGCATGTGTGACAATTGGGTTGGTGGGAAAACAATAAAAAGTTATTTCGACCTTGTTGATTTACTACAAAGGGGAAGTACAGAGAGCAGCAACGGGAACAGCACAAAGAGAGTTCCAGTGGGATGGCCTTCGTGTCTGTGTCCCCGTCCCCTGACCCCGCCTCCACACGCAGAGGTCGAGGCTGACAAAGGTTCGTGGAAAACAAACGAGGGAGGGGGCTGCGAGCAGGAGACCTAGGTCTGGAAAAAGTACGTTACACTCGGTGAGAATTTTCTTGTCCGTGCCTCAGTTTTCCCAGCAGTCAAACGAGGAAATGTGCTAGACCAATAACAAAAGATGCTTCGGGTCGGGCCCTGTGAAATTCTCCATCCTCTCTTGGGTTTCCCGCAATACCCGACTTAAGTCTTACAGGAAATCGCGCCCTTCTCCATCCCAGTCTACGGGACCGTAGCGTCCCCCGCCCTCAGGTCCCCTGTCCTCGGCTACGCTGCCGGGGCGTCTCGGAGGGGAAGGGGGTCGCTTCAGGCCATCTGGGGCTCGCTCTGGGAAGTTGGGGCGCGCTCCGCTTGCGGCGGCTCGGGATCGTGCCAAGGAGCCTCGGGATCCCCGCCACCGGCTCGGAGCCGCGCCCGCGTCGCTGTCCCCCGTCTCGCCCTCCCCCGGCGACGCACCGACCCCAGGGGACTGTCGCTCTCCCAGGCAACTGCCCGGCGGTTTCTGGGGAGGGCGGCGACAGGGGACGCCCGCGGGCTGGCCGCTCCCCGCTGCCGGCCCCTCCCGGAGGAGCTGCGCGCTCGGGTGGCGCTCGGAGCCCCGGCAGCCGCAGGTGCCGCCCGCCCTGGGCCAGTCCCGCGCAGCCCCGCGCCCAACGCCGCCCGCCCGGGTAGGTAGGCGTCTTTTCCTTGCTCTCTCCTCGGCTCCGGGAGCCCCTCTGCTAGCCCCCGTGCCCCGGGGCGGAAGCACCAGTCCGAGCTTCTTGAAGGAGAGGAAAGAGAACCAAGATCGAGGTGAGTGGTGGTCTAGATTTTTATTTCTTTTAAATAAACCTGCATGGTCAGGGCACTGCTGGGAAGCTAGTAAATTAAAGGGGAAGAGAAATAAGACAAAGGCGGGCAGTCAAGACAACCCACCACAACCAGATAGGACTGGGATGGAGCCCAGCTTCCTAGTTACTGTGCACCCCCTCCTTGTCCACCAGCCTCTCACTGACTCAGGTCCAGACCCACACAGACTTCAATAAATATTTGCTGGGTGGAGGTAAGCACCAGGTGTTTCTGACTGTTCTCTACCCAGCTTCTAAACCAGCAGAAACTACCTTTGATGGTTGCCTTCATCTCCACAAGGGTGCTTTCCCCAAGCCAGAAGGATATGAACATTTTTACACAGAAAAATAAAATGCGGTGTATTCACACTGTGGACTGCTATGCAGCCCTTAAAAAGCAGAAATCAGAGCTTGTGAGACCAGCCTGCCCAGATCACAAAGCTGTAAGGGGAAATGATCACAGCAAGATGCGAAGTGTACCTACTAGTCCCTGTCATTTAGGTGACTTATCTTAAAACACACAGCATATTGTAAAATCATAGAAAGGGGACTGTAAACCATATACTAGATTTGCTGTTGTGTCTGTCTTTGGGAAGTGTGCAAGGGAAACTAATTTGGCAGGGGGGGTCAGGTAGAAATAATGTTTACCTGTAATTTTACTATATAAAAATGAGGAAGCGAGGTGGATGAAATATAACCAGTATAGTAGAGTGGTGTGTTTTTTCATGATATTTTCTTTCTTACTGTGTTTCTCTGTGTTTCTCTGTGTTTCTGAGTTTAAGAAATTCTGTATTTCAAATGCAAACTAAGTTCGGTGCATGAGCTACGGCAGTGAATGGAACAGTTTCATCAAAGTAGCAACTTTCTCAAGTCACAACATACGTGATTCAGTTCCTAAAAGACCACACCTCTTACTTAAGGGGTCTTAGCAGCTTAGAAAAGCTCAGCAGTTGACAGCCCCCCAAAATGCAGGCCGAAGCTCGTACGTTAACGTGAGAGAATGAGTCTGCAGTGAATAATGTGGTAACTGGCCAGGTCAGGGGAAAATCTAAAAATTTTCTGTGTCCTTATAAGACACATTTCTTTCTCTCTTAGATTTTCTATGTTCAGGATGTTGGTTTGCAGGGGTGGTCACTGTCCTCTAGACATCTTCGGATGATGCTCGTGTCACCCTACAGACTCTGTGCCAGGAGGTCAGGACGGTGTGGGTTTGGCAGAGTAGAGTACTGTAGCTCTGCTGGGTCCTAAGCAGCAAAACAGGAAATACGTGTCTCCATTTTCCTGCCAGAGATCGTTTCTTTCTTTCTGGATATGTGGGGAAATTACCTAATTTGGTTATCCCCATGGGGAGAAAGCGGGAAAGACAGTTCTAAACTGGCTTAGATACATCAGGTCCAATGGAGAAACCATCACATCCACCTCCCCTTTCCCCAAACAGACACAAAAGTGGTTTCCTGTTGACATATTTACTTCCCGCTAAAAAATTACTCAATGTTTGCTGAACAAAACTGTCTGCATGTCAGGTGGAACTCTGAAACGTGGCAAATTGTAATCATATTTCTCTCTCTTTCTCTGTCTTGACAACTTGCAAGGTCAATGCTTGGTACATCTTATGCTACAGGAACACAGGCTACTTGACAAAAGCCTGAGGAGTGAAGAAAAATATAAGAATGACAGGATTGGGGCATGAAAATTATGTGTCTTAAGGTTTTACGCACAAAATGAAAGAAAATGTGATCCCAATCTACAGTGTTAAAAATCTCAACTCGTTAAGATCAATGTTCTCTTTAGGACCAGTCCTCTCTAACGTGATCTGTGGTTCTGTCCTCCCACTATTCCCTGCTTATTCTGGGCTCTAAGTGCAATAATAAAATACAGAGAGTACCCATTCCCTTCTCCCTGGCCCACAATGAAACACTAAGGGCATCATCCCACTTGCTTCTTCCTCAGCCCCTTTTATACTAAAATTAAAAGCCCCCCTTTTTTTTTTTTTAGGGAGCATACAGAGTTGATGTCTTTCTGTCTTGATGTCAATAATTCCCCAGGGTTACTCCGGCCACCTGTTACCACCTGCCCCTCCCCCATACAATTTAATTGGTTGCTTCCTAATTGCTGACTCTTCCTTTGCTCTCCATTTAATGATTCTTTTTAAAGTCCCTGTGGCACTTAGCCTACTATTGGCTTTTAGTATGAAAAGTAGCATTTCCTTAATGAGTCTGCCTTCCAAATGCAGGCTTTACTTACATTTTCCTAATGGGGAAATGAGCTTTTCTTCTAGACTTGCCTAGGAGCTTCTCAAGTGCTTTTTCGGTAAATCCCATCCTTCTCCCAGGTTTGCTTGGGACCCTTTCTTCAATTCTAGCTCTAATCTCTATTTCCATCATGTAGAAAAAGCCAGAGAGGAAATCAATGAATAGATGTTAAAAAAAAATTATATAGAAGGAAATACATCTACTATTAAAATAGTATTCTATTCTTTGCAAATTATGTGCCAGGCATTGCGCTAATCGCCTTATGGACATTATCTCATTAACTGTATCGCAGGAGTTGTATTTGCTCAGGCCATATAGCTGAAATGAATTTTTAAACATTGTTTTGTATAAAATCTGGATCTTTAGCCCTTTTTTTTTTTTCAGATCTGTGTTTCCATGTGGCAACAAACTTTTAGATCTGAGAGCAGTGACTTCTTTTAGATGGAGCCTGGTTTCTGCAGGTGACCAGAGTCCCCTCCAGGCACTGACATCTTCCACCTGGCTCAGTGCATGCACCTGCATTTGTGCCTGGCTCGAATAAGGCATAGGAGCTTGTGATTCCTGAGGAAGGCACTGTGGTTTCCGCCATCTTAGAGACGAGGGGTCAAGTAATTGGCCCAAAGCCATTGTTAAGTGTCAGTTTCAGAACCAGAACTCTGGATGCTGCCTCTCCTGACCAATTTCAGGGAAAGTTTTCCAAATGAACAAAGCCATAAATGTACATTTCTTCTTACACACATCCCTTTTTGAAGCTTCAGGGTGGCCAACAATCATGGAACACTTATGCTGTGAAAATACTTTCAGGTATTGTCCCAAATCACATTTGATTTGCCTTTGAGGAGAGGACCATCATCATCTTCAAGTTCAGGGGAAGGGGGAAAAAGGAAACATGTTTAGTGAAATTTAGCAGTTTGCTGGTGAGGTAAAGCCCAGATTCAGACCTTGTTCTTTTTACGTTGTAGTACCTTCCACAGTAGGAGGTAAGAGGTGGGAAATGTATTTTTATGACTAAAAAAAATGATAAAGTTGTTGCTCAAACATCCAAAAAAAATGTTAACAGATAATATATTCTTAACAATATAGAGAGTCACAATGAAATATTTTTATTACATACTTTTTTTTTAAGATTTTATTTATTTTTTTGACAGAGAGAGAGATCACAAGTAGGCAGAGAGGCAGGCAGAGAGAGAGGAAGGGAACCAGGCTGCCTGCTGAGCAGAGAGCCTGATGCAGGGCTTGATCCCAGGACCCTGGGATCATGACCTGAGCCGAAGGCAGAGGCTTTAACCCACTGAGCCACCCAGGCGCCCCATTATATACTTTTTAAATACAACATTGTTGGACTAGATTTTAAACTTGTTTTCTTACTTAAAGAAATATTTTGCTCCCTTCCTTCTCTGTAAGTCTAAGACCACTCCCCATGAGGCCATGTAGGGGGTTCTCCCAGACACCTGATGTTCTCTGTACTTGTGAAATTATCATTTTCAACACAAAAAATTCTGTTCTGGGGTACAGATCAGGTGAATATTGCAACCACAGTTCTGTGCTCAGGGTTCCTAGAGCCCACCATATTGTAAAGATACCATTTCTTTTTCTCTTCCAGATATCGAGCTAAGGCTTTCAGATCTCTGTTGAGTGAAGATGAATGTTTCTGCCAGGAGAGTTTAATTGGAGGATCTGGGTCTGGGCCGACTTGACCATGGGAGCCAACACTTCAAGCAAACCACCAGTGTTTGATGAAAATGAAGATGGTAAGAATATGTGATTACTGTATATAAAGTATAGAATTTTGCAGAATTCAAATATAAATACCTTGTTTCATACGTAAATCACAGTCTAAGACTAAAAGGAAGGAAGGAAGGAAGGGAGGAAGGAAGGAAGGAAGGAAGGAAGGACGGACAAGAGTAAGCCCGGAAGAAAGAAAGAAAGAAAGAAAGAAAGAAAGAAAGAAAGAAAGAAAG